TTGGCAGGCGCGAAGTCCTATGTTGATATTCGAGTTGCACCATCTCCCAATGAATGGCGCCAAGCACTAGAAGTTGCCGTCCACGACCCTTCCACAGCAACTTCTAGAATTTGGATCTACGATGTGAAGCGTCAGCCAAAGCCATTGACAGGTGTTTTGTGCAAGCAGCCTTGGAAGCGAACGCCTGTGGTTGACAGCAAGGACTTTCGCTTTGCAGTGCACGCCTTGCCCCTAGCCTATCTATTTACAATAATCCATGTTTAAATACGCTTTCTAATTTTAGGCCCGCCTGTATCCCTGTGTCACGATGCAGCGTGTTGCCAATTCTCCATTCGCTTTGCGTCGCCAAGGTTCGGAGACCCTGCGCTCACCAAGTCTCGCAAGCAACAGCCCTTGTTGACAGACTCTGATATTTTCATTGGTCTTGACGGCAGAACACCTTCAAATTGCCAAGGCATGGTGGCAGGGCTCAAGAAAGCCATGAAACCTTGCGAGTCCATCTTTCCCAAGCGACCGCTGACCATGGTTAGGCTCATTCGCAATTGCAAACAACTCCTCGTCAAGAGCTTTACCGCCACGTCTCCGGAACCTTTGGAGACCATGCTGGTTGCAATGCCGAAAGCCTTCAAGCTTCCAGTTCGCGTCGGAACTGTAGAGGGTTCGTCTTTGGTATTCGAAGACAACAGAGCCAGATCTTGGACCAACTTGAGCATGAGGCCTGAGCAATGTGTTGCGCTATGCTCTTTGCCGGAGACCATGTACCGCCAAGTTCTGGGTGTGTCCGATTCAGCAGGCGAAGGTCATGAAGACATGGCTTCAGAGCATGAAGGAGTCAAGTCAGACGAAGAAGACGATGGAGAGGATGAAGGGCGATCTGGCCCTTGCACCCCGCCATCGACTCTTTTGCTTGTCCCCTTGGATGACCATAGCTGGTTGTAATTTTTCTGTCTACTTAGCTAGTTATAAAGTAGGTTAACAACTTCGGCAAGCTATGTTATATGCTCGCCAACATATGCTTGGCTGGTTTCTATCGAAGCCACCGCGGCCAATTGTGTTGGTCAACTTACTACTTTGTCGCGACAAAGTATTAAATGTTAACATGTAGCCGAACCTGGATATTAATTTCCAGGCTTTTCGTAAATTGGTTATGCATGTGCGCCAAACAGGCGCAAGCAGGTTAGAGAAAATAGCGCCTGAGACCAACCAGGTTAGCGGGAATAGCCAAACATGGTTGGACAGTTTACAAGCAGGTCGCAAACCAGCGCAAACTAGTTTACTAACTGGCCACACTGTATTGAAAAAAACATGTTTTCTTTCGTAAAGACATTTTTTCTCGAGCCGGAACACGCATTTTTTGCGTTTTGTAATTGTGACAGTTAATTATTTGTGCATGTTTTACGTATGCATGTTGTGATATTTTTCACGTGTGCATTTTGTGACTGTGTTTTTTCTATGTGCTTTTTTGTTCTTGCCAGTCCCATGCAATCAGTCTATGTGATTTTTTCTTGCGCTTTCATTGCAGCAGGGTTCATCGGAAAGAAAAACCAGCTGAGTGTGTGTGTTTTTCCAGGGGTAGAAATGTCTTTGCACCAGTTGAGACTTCAGTTGAGCGGCGCCGACATTGCCGCGCAAGAGTACTTTTAGACTCGGCTGTGTTCCTTGAAACGCTGCAGCCTTTTAAACGATTCCTTTGGGGATGCCATTGTTTAGCACTTTTAAGTTTACTTGACAGTTGACAAAAAACAAGTTCACTTGTCAGTCAGCTATTTTAGAAATATCTTGCGACGTGTGGGACACACATTGCGCCGGGGTGGGCATCCCAGAGCAGCGCTGGTAGAGGCGGGGCCTGCAAGATCATCGATGAGGAAGTGATGAATTTGAGACTATAGTAACGAGTTCAACATGGTTTCAATGTTTTGGTTTTTTGCATGCAGGGCCACCTGTGCGTGGCTCGCATTTGTCATCATGAGTTGCTTGCACTTGCAGGGCCATGTGTTCACGCACAGCTCGCATGTGCTTGAATCATGAGTTTCATTGGTGCCAAGATTGATTGTGGTTCCTGTCCTGCGCCTTTGTGTTTTTTTGGCTGAGAGAGTGGCTTTTGTGCCCAGTGCAGGGCCCCAACTCTGGCTCGCACGGGCATCATGTGTGCCATGTTGGCGGATGCAGTGAAGGATGAAATCTTGCGCGCGCTGAAGATGGACCAAGTGATGGTTGCGCAAAAGGAGCTAATGCTCACACTCCAGAAGCACAAACTCGTCCACCGCACACGATTACTTCCAGACGCGGTGGGACCTCACCCAGCCAACCGCGACGGATTTGGGCTGAGCCCGCGGGATTGTCACAACCTGCTGGAGAGCATTCTACAGGTGGGTTTCGATTCGACCCAAACCAGTGCAGTCTGCGTAGAGGTTGATGACAGGTCGAAGCTGTTCACCTTCTGTGACAACATTGTGAAGAACTCTGCAGGATCACTGCCACCCTGGAATCCTCACATGCTGAAGTACGGATCTGTCTCAGGTTCCCACCTCAACGCAGCCTTGCGTTGCATTGCTCATGAGGCTCCACACACGGAGACAGGCTCAACAGTGGTGGTGAATGGGAAGCTGTCGTTGCATTTGGTGGACAGCGTTGACAAAAACATGGCCGCTGCAGTGACTCAAGGAGTTGAGTGGACCGTTGTGTCCGCAGTAGCTGCTGCAGTGCCGGGTGTTTGCGCCCTTTTGCAGGAGGCTGGAAACGCTGCCAGCCAGGTGGCCAGAGGTGAGTCGGAGTTCCAGGTGCTTCTCAGGATCAAGGCTTTGATAGATTTAGATGGGGTGGATTCAACTTGGGACGCAATCAAGAAGGTGATCCAGCGCACAAAACCTCAATGCAGTGCTGCGACTCCTTTCATGTATCAATTTGTTGTCAAATTTGGGCAGCAGGATTTGTTGCAGAGGATCAACAGCCGGCTCCTGATGGAAGGCTTACTCACAAAAAGCCTCGGACCAGACTTTTTCAAGTCCTTGAGCGGCGAAACAAAGGAAACAAAGGGGGAAGCGCTCAGTGTGTTACGACATTGTGCACTGGCAATGGCATACTGCTGTGAGGAGAAAAACAAAAAGCTAGGCCCAGGTGACCTCAAGAAGATCTACAGTGCGCAACTCGCAGAACCCATGATGAATGGGCAGAAGCTCATACTCAAGGTCAGGAAGTTGCTCAAGAAAGAAGTGGGCGAAGATGGCGCGAAGTATGAGGCAGTGCTTCCGCATGTGTGGAAGTTTGAAGACACGGTGCTCCTTTGCGCGCTGGACAGAAGGCCACCATCTGTGGCAGACATGGAGTGCGCTGCCTTGGACTTGGTGGACGCAGTGGAGATGACCGTCGCGGTTCGCATCAGCACATGCTGGGATGGGCATAGGGCCAAGTTGGATTTGTGTAAGTCTGCCGCCCCCCCCCCCACCTGCAGAAGCTGCAGCAAAGAGCAAGGAGATTCCAGTGCAGTGCCTTGCATAAGACCCATTGTTTTTGTGCTACATGGAAGTGTTGTCAACTGTATGTTTTTCAAGCAATCATGTATACACGCAAATTTGTTGAACTTGGTTTGTTCATCATCTCAGGCGACGAAACCTCACAGCGGAAGGTGACTTGACGGATTCAGTCCAGTTGGTCAAGGAGATGGGATTCAAGCCTGGCTCAACAATCCAACGTCGCAAGGACAAGTTGGCAGCCACTATCGATTCCACGAAAGGCGACACTGTCGTCCTGCAGTTGGATAGTAGCTGGTTCACCTGTGGGCTTGTCAAATGGGATCAATGCCTCAGGTTCAGCGTCGGGAAGCTTCTCCACATACAGCATCAACACATCCCCCTCCTTCAAAGCAACCTTGTTCTGCATGACGGGGATCTTCAAAGCGTCAGAGCCGCCATTCACCAACTTGATTTCCACATTCGCCTCGCTGGTGTCATGAGTTTTTCTCACCAGCCAAAATGGACAAAGAAATGAGTCGGACTTCATGCTTCCATCCTTCTCAGGGCCAACAACGTGAGGGTGCAAGTACCACTCTTGGCCCTCAATCTCCCCCAGCGACAATCCAGCCTTGCTGGACTTCAAGCTCACCGCAGGCGTCGATGGTACCAGAGTCATTTTGCCCTTCTGGATGGGAGAGGTGACTTTCACGTTTCGAGTTGGCTTGAGGACAATGGCCAAGTTTTTTGTGCACCCTCGGTGCTTCGACTCCAAGGCTAGAAGAGCTGCCATGATCTTGCCTTTGGTCACCACATTGAGCATGTCAGCATTCTCAAAGCCACAGTGATTGCTGAATTGCTCAAACCCATATTCAAGTGATTCCACCTGGCGCTTGATGATTTTCCACTCATTGTGCAGAAAAGAATTGCAACTGAGCTGGAACAATCTACTAAGCGAAGGAAGACTGGAAAGAGTGCTGAGTGTGGGTGATCCTTGAAGAGATGTCTGCGTACATGCAGGCGAATTGACAATGAGTATTTCTTTATGTTGAATCATTTTGTTTGTTGTCATGGCCTTGCAACCCACTTGCCACTCTGAAGTCCCATCTGCATAGCTGATGCGCGTTTTTGATTGATGTGGAAAAGGAAGTTACTTGGTAACGTGTAATCAAGGCCGTAGTTGGGGCTTCAGGACAAACGTTTGAGGTGGCTAGAGTGAAGAGTTTGTTTGCTTGAGAAGTATGCTGTGATGCAGGGCTTTGAAGCTTTCTTCAGTGCGCTCGCATCACCTGAGACGAGTTAAGAGTTTTTTGAATCAAATTTGTGTCAATCTAATCTGCGCAGAACTGAACTGACACATGTGGCAGGGCTTTCTTGCTCGCACTGTGCTTGTGTGTGTGGTGCAGGGCTCTAACATTGTCGCTCGCACCTTGTCGTGTTTGTGTAGCCACAGGGCTCAACGATTTGAAGGTTTGCCTGTGAACATTTGCAGGGTTTCGCCTGCAGCTTGAGCAGGGAAGCGGCCACATCCTCCACACTGCGGTGTTCATCATGTCTCAAGAGCATGAGAGTGGGTCAGAGAAGGACGTCGACGGAGAGGGTGAAGAAGATGTCACTGAAGAGAACTTCGATATTGAGCAATGCTGGGTCATCAAGGGTCGCAAAAGAACTTGGGTACCTGAGACTGTGATGAAGTTGAACGAGCCCTACATCAAGCTGTCCAAGTTTGACCGTGGGTTTGTCCACTTCTGCTTATCGAAGCCGATGTCGAGCACCAGCAAACATGGACAAGAACCGGCCAATGCCAATACCCCTTCCTTTGACAACTTATTGCAAATGAGGATTGCTGCTTCTGTGAAAGCTGCCCAAGAACAAATGGAGATGGAAGAGTCTCAGGTGGGGGACTGAAGAGACATGGAAATGCTGCCACTAACGCAAACAAGAAGATTTCATGGGAGCGTGGCCTTTTGCAGGAAGTGGTGCTAACGCAGTTCTTGGAGCTTCAGAACTGGGACCCCAAGGAGGGAGTCATCCTTACCAACCCTCATGAGGCATCAACTGAGTTGATCAATTTTGTAGTTGGTTTTTTTCGGCTGACTCCTGCAGACCAGATTGAAGTGTTGGCTGCCACGTCGGCCCTTTGCGACCATGAACAAATTGGCAAAGGAGACGTCGTCATCTCAACCAGGAACTTTGTGGGCGAAGTGTGGTTTCACATGCACGTACGTTCCCAGCAAGTCACCGGCTTTTACACGGTGCTGTCAAAGTGGGAAAGTTTGGGTGGCAATAGGTTCCGAATTTGCAACAACCCTTCGATTGTCCTCACGAATGAACTCGTGAAGTCTTTGCCTTTCCGAAAGGAATCTGACCTGGCCTTGGTTGTGCCATGAAAAAGAACTGTCAACTATCGCGAGCAAACGCGTTCCACGCATGCCCTGCAAGCATTCATGCGAGCAATTTTCCGTGGAGTTGCCCTGCGCGTCAGTTGACAAATCGATTCGGTGCCCTGCGCCAGGAACATGGCGAGCAATGAAGCTTGCGCGGCACGCGCTTTTGTGCCCAGTGCAGGGCTCCAACTCTGGCTCGCACGGGCGTGTGTGATGGTACAGTAGGAGGCAGAAGGTTTCATCCGGCTAATATATGTTAATCGGCAGGTTGCTCCCTGTCGATCGTTCTTTCGTTTCTCTCATTCTCTCTCTCTCTCTCTCTCTCTCTCTCTCTCCCTCTCTCTCTCTCTCTTTTTCTTTCTTTCCCTCCACAGCTGTGCAAAAAGAAGCGATGGCAGTGGCAGCAATCTGCATGATGCGCAGCTCAGGTACAATAAAGCTGGACATCGTGCAACACAAGATCTTTTAAAAAATACATACCTTAAAAAACAAGATTTTTAGAAAGCGTTGCTTGAGTTTATACGCATGTATCTCTAGGTCTTGTCTTGCACGTATGTGTGAGTATGCGCATGTGGCATCACCCCTCTGAAAAGACTACAGCTATAGAAGCAGTCGCGGGTTTTTCATTCCCTCTCCACAACGGTGAGAAAAGATCCGGTTGTAGTGGCGGCAACCGGGATGTCAGCTCGACTGAAGCTATAGGCATTACAGCTGCGAGGGCAGCAAACAGTATGCGCAGCTCCATCTCAATTGAAGCTGGGTATCGAGAAAAATGTTTTGGCGCACGTTTGTTTTCAAACGTGTAGATGACATATAATTACAACGTGCGATGCCAGTTTGGCCAGTTTAGCTGACTTAGCGACAACTACCACAACCTAGTTTACAAACAGAACAACCAGGTCCGCGTAAGCTCGCTAAATTGGTCCCTGGCAAGTTGGCTAAATGAGTTTACACATTTGAGCCAACCATGACGCAACCGAGCCAAGGTCAACCTTAAACTAGCCATATAGTTACAACCAAGTATGGTCATCCAAGCCATGGGAATTTCCAGAGGAGGTGTACAGAAACATCTACCGAGCCTTTTGCAAAGATGCTTCGTCCAAAACATGGGTGGTTGACATTTGTGCTGGATCAGGCCTGGCAGCACTTGCAGCTGCGCGAGATGGACACCACTACATTGGGTGGGCTCGCACAGAAAGCCACCGAGTCTTCATTCAGCAGTTCGTTCTTCTCCACATTTGCCTTGACTTAGTCTTGGGGAACGGAGGCTTCCGAATGGGGAACAAGCGCGTGTTGTCGAAGCAGAACTCTTTGACAGGGACCGAGGCGCCTCCCTCAGAAGCCGCCGGTGCAGGGCCAACCCCCTCACCCAGCAAGAAGGCCAAATCATCCTCTTCTTCGTCTGACTCTTGAGGGTGGGTAGGGTGCCCTCCGGCTTGCCGTTGCCTTTTTTTGAGGGCGAGTCCTGCGGCCTCAGTTGGCCAAGCTAAGGACTCGGCTAATTTTGTTTTTTCCAGCAGTTGAACGCATGAAAGACAGCTTTGAACGAAAAGTTTGGCTTTGCACGCCAGCCTGAAGCTTCATGCTGCGTGACCAATGAGCACCGACTTGGTTGAAGCCAGCAGTTGATAATGCGCACTTGTGACCAGCTGCCAGGTTCGGGTCACCGCTCGACAGGAAAGCTTCAAGTTGTTAACATTGTTGCCGTGAGGAGTAGGAGCAGACATGAAATCTAAGACGTTGGGAAAGATTTGCGTAGGTAGTTTCTGAGCGCCTTGGGCACTCCGTTGTTGGCGCATGCTCATTGTTGATAGCCAGACCATTGGTGCCTCGGCAACAACGTGGGGCCATGGGAATGTTGGCTAAGGGTGGCTGCACACTAGGCTCGCAACGTGCGCATTTTTGCGTGGAGACTGTTTTGCTTTTGTGAGATATGCTTTTCGATCCACGTTCGATGGGCTGGGACGGGTTGCCATCAATGCTTTGGTTTTGCACGCAGCCAATATCCCACGACAAAATGGTATACATTCAACGAAACACGCTGAAAACCGAGATTGCCTTGTGCGCAAGACACGAGAAATGTTGCTGCAAATGACCCGCTTTCATTGTGTGGATCCGAGGAGCGCCCTGGATAATGTCATGGCTGACACTGCTGTGCGTCGGGCGTTTGCTGAAGGAGGAGGCGGGGATGGGACCAGTGAGGTGTCTGCCTGATCAGTTTGAAAAGCGTTCACGGTTGCTTGAAACATCTTGAAGGTGACGGTAGAGGACACGTAGAGATCCCCTAGGTAAACCGGAGAGGTGCGACAGAGGTGCTGTAGAGATGCTGGAGAGATGCCGCGCAGGGTTGCCCTAAACCAAGCCCGTGCCAAACCAAAGGTGTGTGGGCCGCTGCTGGATGTTTGCAGTTCACCTCGCTGCTGACGCTTGGCTTGTTGCAGCTGTGTGTGTGTGTCTGTTTTTCGGACGCCTGCTCAATTTGGCGTCAAAGTGTTCTTCTTGTGCCCAACTCCATGAACAATGTAAAGCTCAGGGTACCCCTGTAGAGAGATCGCATATTGAATCCTCACAGTTCTCCATGGTTTGCAGGAGTATAGACAGTATCCAGCTAGGTGTGAGAGGTGCGACAGAAGCTGGATTAATAAGTAGAAACCAAGCTCAGGTTACGGACCTGTGGCCTGCAGCTGCTGTTTTTGCTTCCTGGGTCGGCTCGAGAAGCTGAAGGCTGAAGATGCTGAGCTCTGGCGCGTGACCTGGCTGGTCGGTTCCCATTTTCAGTTGCCTTCGCCATTGGGCGTGGCTCAAATTGACGGGGCCCGTTACCGAAGCAGCCAGGGTTTTGAAGCACGTTTCCTTTTGGCCGAAATCCCTTTGGCCGAAGCAAGCTAAATGCAAGATGTTGCCCTCGGGCCCAGCGTTTCATATGCAATCAGAGGTTTCTATGGGCCTCCAAGTTTGGAAGTGCGGGCGCAGGCGGTTTAAATGGGCCTCTAAGTTTGGAAGTGCGGGTGCAGGCGCTTTCCCAAACTGGTTCCAATTTGTTTCATTCCTATTCTCAGCGCTCCTTACTATGAACGGTGGACTGGTCCCCCTGGATACTAGTATTGTTCCTCATTCCTTGTTAGACCTCGGCCCCTAACCTTCAGCTTTTGCCAAGACTGCAGAACCATCTTAAGGGCAGGGCCCAAGCGTGGCTGGCAGTGCACGTCGCTTCCATCCCAGGCTCAACGAAGACATGGTGCTGCGCTTGCTCAGCCCCTGGGCCGCCGCGACGCTGCAGCGTGACCGCTGCGCAGGCCAGCGCGGAACGTTCGACGAGCGGCGTGGCAAAGGGGCAAGGTCTCCCGGAGGCCATGACTCCAGCTCGGTCGGTTGTGGGAAGAAGATGGGCCGGTCGATTGCCAAGATGTGTTTCATAGTTCAAGTTATAAAGACAATATACAAAGTACAATATATTTATGTATTTTCCTACTTGCTCGCTTATACACACATAGATATAAGTAAATAAGTAACAAACTGTATATTTATTTATACAACCATATATATATATATACAACCATATGGTATATATACATACCTACATACCAGCCTACCTACCTACATACCTACCTATAGCGACCGACCTACCGACCTACCTACGTATGTATATTTATATCTGTATCTATATTTATATCTTACACAATACACATAAATACATCACTTTCTCACCAAGAAGCGTGGAAGTGGAAAGGCGGTTTTGTTCGAGTACAAATTTATAGGTCCCAACAAAGCAGCATGTCCGCTTCCATGCTTCTGGCGAGCAAAGTCAGCAGATCAGACCGAGGAACGTGTGTTGAAGCAGAGGGAGCTAGTTTAGGGTTTGCTTAGCGGCCCACTTAACCAGGTCAGGCATGGTCAGGCAACATCCCCACTGGCTCATCGTCGACCCTCGTTTTTGAAGGACTTTCACGACTGAGTTTCAACCATTCTTGAATATTGTTGGTTGAAAGTGACGCTAGAGTATCTGTAGAGATCCGCTAGCTAAACTGGAGAGGTGTGACAGAGGTGTTGCAGAGGTGCGGCAAAGGTTGCTCCTTGCCACACGCAGACCAAACCAAAGGTGTCTGGGCAGCCACTGGCTGTTGGCACCTCGCCTAGCTGGAGAAGCTGAAGATGTCGAGCCCTGGTGTGTGACCTGGTCGGTTCCCAATTTTTCATCTGCGCTCACCACTGGGCGTGGCTCAAATGGACGGAGCCCATGACCCAAACAATTTTTTGGACACATTTTGCTTTGAAGTCTTGAAGGGTGGCAAGCCTGGACGTCCTTCAGCGTGTAAGACCACAAGGTGCTGTAGAGATCCCTGAGCTGTTTTTAAGAAGTCAGTGGAGACGCAATGCCAAGTCAACAAAACTCACTTCAACTAGAACTGTTTAGCTTGGCAGACCCTCTATGGCTTGAAAGTAAAACATATGATAACATGATAACATATGCAACACACACGCAGAACCCACAGGCTTGCTGCTCTTCATGGGTGCCCAGATGTCAACCTCCCCCAGCGGCAGACATCTGAACCCTCACCCCAACTAACCGCACATGGGACCCACAAATGTGCGTCAGTACGATGCCCAGAAAATAACCGGCTGGGCTGGTAGTCCATGAGGCCGGGAAGCTTCGCTGCTGCGCCCAGCTTGCTGACGCTGCGCAGATGTTGGGGCGCTGCCGCATGTGCGGAAGTTCGGAAGGCTGGGATTGGGTGGGCGCCCGCCCGTAGCGAGACCGAGCAGGGTTTTAGAGTCCAGGCTTGCTCAACGAAAGGCGCAGATGACTTCTGTTGGGTGGTGCAGCTCTGAGAAATTTCGGGGCCTAGTGCCAGTGGCTGCCAGTGGCCCAATCAATCATTGATTGTTGGGTCGCTTGCAGTCA